GTATATGTGTGTGGTTAGTCGTAGTGGTAGTATCAGTATGGTGCTCATTAACCACAGTGTTGTCAATGTTCGAATTATCATCTTTGTTGTAGTAGCATGTGCATTATTATTCGTATAATGATTAGCAGCGTTAGTCGTGGTAGTACTATAACAGTTCGTAATCTTCTGATTCGTAGTATTAATATGCGTCTTAGCCTTCGAAGTATTAATAATGCTCATCCGCTTAATAGTAGAATTGCGATTCGCATTAGCATCGGCATTCGCATTACCAGTCCCATTCGTCTTCGTACTATGACTAGTAGTGTTAGCGTTCCTCGTACTAGAACTAATAGTCATAGTAGTATTAGTTGTTGTGTTCCTTCTTAGTACCATTAACTTTAACATTATGAATCGTACTCAAATTCGTCTTGCTAATATTCGCATCATTATTGGTATTCCTCTGTTTCTTCCTCCTCCGCCTCCTCCTCCGCCTCATCTTCCTCCTCCTCGTCCTCCTCATCATCATCATCATCATCCTCTGCCCGCCTCCTCCTCCTCCGCCTCATCCTCTTCATCCTTTTCCTCCTCCTCCTCCTCCGACTCCGCCTCCCCCGCCGCCTCCGCCTCCCCCGCCGCCTCCGCCTCCCCCGCCGCCTCCGCCTCCGCTTCCACCTCCGCCGCCACCGTCTCCGCTGGCTCCGCCGCCTCCGCCGCCTCCGCCGCCTCCGCCTCCGCCTCCGCCTCCTCCTCCTCCTCCTCCTCCTCCTCCTCCTCCTCCTCTTCTCCTCTCCTCCTCCTCCTCCTCCTCCTCCTCCTCCGCCCTCCTCCTCCTCCTCCTCCTTTTTTCCCTTTCCTCCTCCTCCTCCTCCTCCTCCTCACCTTCCTCCTCCTCCTCCTCCACAATTACTCAATATGAATTACTACTCTCCCTCTTCCCCTGATGACGGTTTGAAAATATTAGCCCCCCCCCCGCGTAGTGTTTTTTACGCACAGGATTCCCTGGAGTTGGGTGTTCGCCTGCATTTTTTCCAAAATGCTGCTCTCGCTGAGGCGCCGGCCTCATTTTCGGGCCCCGCTCGTTCCGAGTCGTGTTTCCGCTGCAGCGCTGGCTTCATTTCCGTGCTTCCGCTCGTTCCGAATCGTGCTCCCGCTGCAGCGCTGGCCTCATTTCCGCGCTTCCGCTCGTTCCGACTCGTGCTCCCGCTGCAGCGCTGGCGCAATTTCCCATGCCATGCCACGGCATGCAATGCAATGCTAGGTTGATACTACGCTTTGCGGTGCTCTTCTACGCCATGCCATGCCGTGCTCTACACTGCATCGCGTACCCGTTCGGGATCATTGCCCTGCTCGACATCCGACTGTGCGAGTAGAGAGGGGATCTACGCCATGGTGAGGGATGGGAGGGAGGGGTAGGATGTCAGATATGACACGAGCGCACCTAGCTTGTCCTCCTCCTCCTCCTCCTCCTCCTCCTCCTCCTCCTCCTCCTCCTCCTCCCTCCTCCTCCTCGCCTCCTCCTCCTCCTCCTCCTCCCTCCTCCTGCCCTTCCTCCTCCTCCTCCTCAGGCTCCTCCTCCTCCTCCTCTTCCTCCTCCTCCTCCTCCTCCGCCTCCTCCTCATTCTCGGCTGTGGCTGACGCTCGGCATGTGGTTCGACAGCTGGCAGTCAAAGGTTTCTGCATCAAGGTGGCCAGTCAGGCAGCCTACTTGGGTGGGGACCTCTCTGGCGGGCGGCGGCTCGGCAGGGTCACTCGGCGCATCAGGGCGGGTAAGCACGAGAGCATGTCCAAGAGGATTGTCGGGTACGCTCGTGCATTTCGGAAGTACCGCCTGCCAGCACGGCTTGAATGGCAACGTGCTCAACAGTACGGCTGTACGCTCATCAGTTGCATGGAGTGTGGGGCAGCCAGATGCAGCAGGTCAGAAGGAAATTGGCCACCGCAGTCGGTCCTCGTCTCACGGGAAGGTGCACCACGACGTTGCTAGACCTCAAGGCGCCTGATCGGGATCCTCAGTATCGATGACCTATGGATGCGCTGCGGATGTGGCCGGCGACGTAGACGTCCAGGCACGAGCTGCACGCCAGCATCATGTTGACATGGCCCAAGCTGGTACGGGAGCTCAGTGCCATGCCAGAGGCGGCCAGGTGCAGGCATATGCGAGGGCCACAGGGCGCAGTCATTTCATACCTCCCAGCTGCAGGCTGGAAACCCACAGCGTCGTCGTCATGGGAGGCACCTGATGGCACGCTGGATTTGCAAGTTCACATTTCCTCTTATCACAGGACATCACTGTCTTGACATTCCGGTGGCCTTTCTGGCAGAGTTTCGCGAGTCCATCGAAGCACAGATGTGGCAGAAGGCGTCTCAGCATTTCGGCGGAGCAGGCATGTCAGGCGGCATATGTAATTTATCGCATCGGAAGTTGCTGCAACAGCTTGAGCAGGCTCCAGGTGGACAGCGGCTGTCAGGACTTCTGCTCGCATCTGGGACAGGAGCGGCATGGCCGCACACGCATCGTCAGATTAGGTGTCGCTAGTCTATCTCCGTGTTGTGCGCACGCTGCAGGTCCGAGCCTGAATCCAGTTTTCGCAGGGTTTGGAACTGCAGCAACCAATCGTATCACGCCATTTATAAACTTAGTGAGGATTTAATACCCAAGGTCTTCGCGCAGGCTGAAGCTGAAGAATGCTTTTGAATCAGGGGCCTCCTACCTAAAGCGTGGCATGTGGTGGATGCCCCTCCTCCCAGCCTTGGGTCACCTCTAATGGCCTCGAATTTGGTTCCCTTAGGTTCGGAGATTCTTGGGATAGGCCTCTGTTTGTCTTTGGGGATGCTAGCGGGGGTAAAGACACCCACCATCCCTGTCCCCGACGTGTAGGTCTAGGTCTTGCAGCTTTCCAGAATCTTGATGATGGCACGAATATTTCCGTAGGTGCGTGGAGCCCCCTCGCTGGTCCCAAGCAAAACCGCTGCCCGAGGAGAGCTCCAGTGCCTAGTTGAGTGTCTCCGACGTGCTGCAGGATGTTGTGCGTATGTCACGGACGACGAAACCGTGAGCGCAGGCTGGCATCAGCGCAGGCGGCTGACTCCCTCAGGCCCCGACGCCGACCTTTGGTGGAAGCCCGGGCGTACGCTTGAGCAGAGGAGGGCTGAGGTTGATTGTATTGTTATGTTCGCTCATTTTCACCTCGACGGCGAACAAGTGGCGAGAGAGGTTGCACCACGGTTCTTGGCACTCGGTAACCTACTTGCGGATTGTTTCGCAGCGGCGGGAGCGGAAGATGCCCGTTTAGCTGAGTCAGTGCGTACACGCATACATATAGTTGAGTCGCAAGCTTTCGCAGTCCGTATGAGAATCCCCCAAAGCACCCTCGAGGCCGTTCAGGCTGAGGAACGTCTTGATGCTGAGGAGGGTGGTAGGCGTAGGCGCAAGCAAACGGCGAGCATGCTCTACCTCACATTTCCTCAAGGAGCATTCAGGAGCTGTTCCAGGTGTCCGGGGTCTGCGTCTGTTGCGCGCAGACGGGACTGGATCGAGTCTCCGTGTTTCTCTTTAATTTATGTGGACGGGGTCCTTTGGAAGCCTCCGCCAAGGCAGCGGGTGCACATCTCTGGGGGTTATGCTCACGAGTCCCATTCGTTAAAGTTCACTCGTTATTAGAGCTTTGGTTTTGCACACTGTGTGGATGTTTTGCTGCTCAGCAGTTGAAGCAACTTAGTAGTGTGTGTGTGTGTGTTGAGTCTGTCGCAGGTAATCGCGAGGAATACATTGACCGAATATCCCGAAGCTTGTGGCGAAAGGCTTAAAGCAAAGCCGAGATGGCCAAAAAGAAGCAGCATGGATACTTGCTTCCATCAATAACCGACACTGTCACCACACCCGTAACTCCTCCTCCTCCTCCTCCCCCTCCTCCTTTTATCATTGTTAGTAGTATGCTTGTTATCATTTTATATGACTCGTAGTATTCTTTTTATCCATACGAATGGTATTAATAGTCGTATTGGTTTTGTTCTTAGTCGTTCTATCATTCGTCGTATCAGTTTGGTTTGCCTTCTTAGTATTCTCCGTATACAAATTGTGATTAATATTGTTGTTCATAGCATTCTTATTGGTACTACTAATGTTGTTAGCATTATTCGTACTGTTCGTATAAGTATTATGATGTTTCATTGTTGGTATTATTATTATGCTTAGTAGTATTCCTCCTCCTCCACTTCCTCCTCCTCCTCCATCCCTTTCCCTTCTTAACATCTTCCCCCGTCGCATCCCGAAGCCAGTTTTAAGGCGGGCCGGGCGTTTCGCCTGAGACTTCCCCACAATGTATGACCATGCAGCTTAAAACTCAGCAGCAGCTTCACAGATGGAGGGCGGGTTCAAAATGAGTTTCTCGCATTAGCGCCATGTACAGTCGTTTCCAAAAAATGGATTGAGGGCGACCCGTTTTCAAAATGTGGCTCTCGCCTTAGCGCCGCGCACATTCTATTTAAACATTTGCCAGGGTTTCACGGATTCCCATGAGGACTCAGGATTAGGAGGGTGCAACAGTTTCGTTGACTCGCGGCGTTGAAGTCCCAGAAAAGGCGTTTTGGCACGATCCCAGATCGTCAAGACGCAACATCCAGGTTGATCCGCGGCGTTGGAATCCCGAGAACACTTTTTTGGCATGCTTCAGGGTTTTCAAACGGTTGCCTTCCAACGAGGCAGCTCCCCCTGTGGAAATGAACCGTTGTAGGGGCCTATGAAGAGGGAGCTTGGCGGGATGTTTTTTTTCAGCATCGTTGATGACTCTTGGGCCTTGGGTTTACACTGGTCCTCCTCCTCCTCCTCCGCCCCCTCCTCCTCCCCCCCGCCTCCTCCTCCCCCCCCTGTTTCCGTCTCCTCCTCCTCCTCCTCCTCCTCCTCCTCCTCCTCCTCCTCCTCCTCCTCCTCCCCTTTCCAATTCTGGTCCTTGCACATCTGCCAGCCCGCCGGGCAAGCGGCCTCCACGTCGGCGATGAGCGATGAGCTCCTGCACGGCCGCCGCCCACTTCTCCACCGCTGACGCAGGCGCGCAGGCGCTGGAGAGGTCGGCCGCGCCCAAACAGCCGTCGAACTTAGCGACTGAAATGGGGGCGATGTCTGCGCCAGTGGCGCCCCGATTGGCGTCGAAGCACTCGGCCGAGGAGGGCCTCGCCAAGCTGGCGCGCGCCACGGCGAGCGTGGAGCGGGCAGCAACGCACGCCTCCGAGCCCTCGCTCGCGAACATCGGCCCATCGGCCCCGCGTCTCTTCTTCAAGCTCGCCCTGGTGCCCGCGCAAGCGTGGCCATCCTGCAAGACCCGGAACTGCTGCGAGAGCTTCGCGCCCCCGCCGCCCTGGGTGAGGTTCGCCGCAACCTCCGCGCCCAGGCAGAGAGGAACCACCTCGGCAGGCACGGCGTCGCTCATGAACTCCGCCGGGATGCCACTCCAGATCTCGTCCAAGGTCGCCTTGACGATCAGGTCGCAGGCGACGCACCCAGCGACGGCGTCGGCGATTTGCCTGGGGTAGCAAGCTCTCTGCAGAGCCTTGCCGAAAGCGCCCGACCAATCCGCGAGCACCTGGGAGGGGCCAGGAGAGAGGTCATTGTCGCCACTGCCATTCGCCGCATCCCCTCGCCGAAGGGCGGGTGGAGGGGGGGCGGGGGGGAAGGGCAGCAAGGCCATCGCGGGGGCGAGCGGATGGGGGCGATGTGAGTCATCGCGACAACGACCACGATCCCCCAAGACATCCGCGCTGGCCCCGACGGGCGAAACAATCCGCGCCCAACCGAATTTCATCTCGAAGTTGTAAAAGAGCTGGGGGAGCAGCGAGGCGCTCTCCCTGGAGACATACTTCGGATCCTTCTCGAGCGAGGCCACCAGCTGCAGCGCAGCGGGCGCGCGCTGCAGAAGACCAGCCATCTGCCCGCGAGCCGCGTCGATGGCGGCCCAGAAAGCGCGCAAGTTGGTGTCAATCTTAGTCGTCAGCGCCTTGGACTGCCCGGCGTGGACGACGCTCGCCAACGGTCCCTCAAGCTCGGCGATGACGGAATCGACGGCAAGCTCGGGCCACTTCTTGCCAGAGTCGCGCGCCGCGGACAGGCTGACGCGATACCGTGATACCCCCACTGCAAGAACCTCTCCTGTCCGCCACCGTGTCTCGAGGCACGAAGCGGAGCTTCCCCCTGCCATGCCAGCGGAGAGGCGCGCTGCACGCTACGTTGCCCAGAAGCCTCACAGTCCTCCGAACGTGCAAAGCCCACCGCACCGCAGCACATGTCTCGAGCCAACCTGCTGGCCTGAGGTCAAGGCCATCCCACGGACGCGGAACGGTGGATCCTTACCAGCCTGGAACATAACCCTCTCCCTATGCTGGGCATCTCCTCATCACGATGCCAATCTTAGGGATGCCCTTATTTTTTGAGGGCGCATCCCTAAGATTGTCATCGCCGTTTGGCGTGTCAATCGTAAGGATAGGGATAAGTTCGAGGCTGGTAAGATCCTCCATGCCCTCACTTGGGCCTCGGGCCCCAGGGCGAGGAGAACCCTGGAGATCCGAGTAGCCATGGCTGAGCGGCCCGAAGCACAAGATCTCGGAAGCCTCCGGTCTTCTCACTCTGCACTCTGAGATCGGATCACATGCCTCTGCCTGAGGCTGACCGGCTTTGGCGCCTTCCCTTTCACGCCCGACGACGCGCACATCGTGTCGAGTTGGCCGCGCGCAACACAACTGCATTGGCCTTGGCATCAAGGTCCTTCATTCCACGCCAGTGGTGCACAGGAATGTGACGTTCAACGGCCTTGAAGGACGCAAGCTCAGCAAGAGCACGGCTGATGTAGACAGGACCAAGGTTCGCACAGCGCCAGAGCCTTGAAAGCTTGACGGAATCCTCCGTGAGCTGGCATCACACACGCATGGCATGTGTTGCCCGTGCGCGTGCTACTCAGGATCCAGAACTCGCGCCAGCGGCGCTTGCACGTATCAGCGCGTGCATGGTGAAGTGTGAGGAGAAGGAGGTGGAGTGGGGAGGAGAGAGAAGGAGTGAGGCAGAGCGAGGAGGAGCGAGGAGGAGTGAGGAGTAGGGGGACGACGACGACGACGACGACGACGACGACGACGACGACGACGACGACGACGACGACGACGACGACGTTGGCGGCGGCGACGGCGACGGCGAGGACGACGAGGGGCGAATGTGGGCACGAGGGTAGCCACCCCGGACGTCGAGATGCTGTTGTCGCTCCTCGGCGGGACGTCCCTGCGCAGCGTCGAGTAGGCGCTGTGGTAGGAGGTGTGGCTGCCGGGGATCATGCGCTCCCGGCTGCCGGGAATCATGCTTTCCCTGCGGCGGGGGGCCCTGCCTTGAGGGTCATCCTCCTCCTCCCTCCTCCCTCCTCCACCCTCCTCCGTCCTCCTCAGAGGCCTCCTAGACGAGTCGCAGATCCCTGGGGAGGCCCCCCTTCTTCCAGCTTGGTGATCAAAGCTTGTGCAGACTGTGAAGGTGCCAGCTCCACTGTCAAGCACGTTGCGTTCGTTTCGTTGCGCTGCCTGGCGAGCTCCCAAGAGCCGACAGGGGAGCGTATGCCAAAATCGACGAAGAGCCTAAGGCGTTCCAGCGAATATGGCCTCCTGGGCCAGACCCCTGGGCCTCCAAGACCTCCGTTCCCCCCTCTCCCTTGCTCGCTGCCTTGCCACTGCTGCTCTCGAACCCAGCCTCCCCCCCCTGCCTCGCCCCTCTTCACGCCATGGTCGTGGCAGCAGACTGGCGGCGCGCACGAGGAGGTGAGGGGAGGGGGGAAGGCTTCTTGGAAGGAGGCTGCTTCTTAGTAGGCGCTGGCCCTACATCTACAGACCCGAGACCCTCCCAAGGGGAGCTCACAGAGAAGCGGGCCAGCTGGGGTCGCCAGCGGCCGCTGTGGCGCGTACCCATCCTCTGCTCACACACCTACCTCGTCCCTCGCCCCCCCTCCCTTCCCTGCCGCCTCGCCCACCGCCCTGGGCTGCCTGCCTGGCACTTCGACCACCCCCCTGCCCCCTGCACTCCTACCGCGCATCCCCTGCGGCGTCTGTCGGAAGAGTACGAACGCGCGTGCGCGCGTGTGCGCGCGCGTGCCCGTGTGCGCGTGCGTGCGCGCATGGGCCCGTCGCACTCCTGGTCTTCCGCCCACCTGGCTCCGCTGCGTCGCGCGCGGCCACGACGCCGAGAAATGTCCGTGGCTACGCAATCTTGAGGCTCCCGTGGGACGCAGAAGGACATGCTAACACTATGTGTCCTCCTCCGAAGCGTGCCTCCGGCCCGAACATACAGCACAACCATCCTGTAGCACACCGTGTCCCGAGCGGACGGCCAGAAAGCACCCGCCACGGAGCGTTCACTTCAAGACTTCTCGGCGCGCGCGTTGCACCTTTGGGGGCGACGCACACATAGGATTAGTATGCTGGGGCAACCTGGGTTTCCAGTCTGGTGCACGTCCCCAAACAAGATGGTCAACTCATTGCGACCCGTGGCTTTGCGTCCGTGGACTGGAGTCAATCGGCGCGCCAGAGGAAAAAGCAATCTTCTCACTCCCCACCCTGCCTGGGTGGATATGCGCAGTCGATCCACATCGGGGACCTGCTGACCCAGGTCAATCCAGACCCGGGTCAGTCAGGCCTTGCAGAATCCTGCGAGATCCTGCACGCAAACCAGGGTCAACGCTAAGAACCCTGCAAGATCCTTCAGGATCCTGCATCTACGAGTTCATTGTGACACCGAACGATTCTCTTCTAAATGACAACAAAGTTTTACCACCAGGTGCTGAGCTGAAACTTATGTTTGATCGCCTTCCAGCTGATTGCTCTGACTTCGCCTTGGCCCCTCTGACCTCGCCTTGGCCCCTCTGACCTCGCCTTAAGCCCTCAGATGCCTCGGGCACTGAGGACTTCTACTGCGATTTCTTCGATCAAATTGATCGGGATATCCAAATCTAGCGAGTGAATTCTCAATATAAAAACTTGAACATGGTTCTGATTTCATTCGCCCAGACCCGGGTCAAAGCGACCCTGGCCCTGCAGGATCCTGCAGAATCCGGCGCTCTGGCTGACCCCCGTCTGCATCGACCCCCGTCTCAGGGCTCCCGACCAAAGCGGTCCCGCGCCCGATGGGCCCAGCCGCGCGCGCTTGCTCGGTGCCGACTGCTCGGCGTGCTCCGCCCCGGAGCTGGCAGCGCCCCTGCCTGGCGCCACGCGCCCGGCGCTTGCACACCCCCGCGCCGCGCAGGGGGCACGCGCGCGTGCCTCTCGCAGAGAGAGAGAGAGAGAGAGAAAGAGAGAGCCACTGTTCTGCGAATCCAACGCCGCTTCCCTGGAGCCCAGCTCTGCTGGGGCCGCCACACCATGCGCTGCGAGCACGGCCTTGGGCGAAGGGTGCACTCCTCCTCGGAGCCTCGCGCCGCGAGAGCCGCCCGGCACCGCCCGGCCTGCACGCGCGAGCGCGGCCTCTCCCTCCTCCTCCTGGCAGGGCGCCACGAGGCTGAGGGGCAACGATAGGGGGGGGACTGGCACAGAGGGGGATGCATCGACCCGGAATCGGCGACACATCGCCGATAGATCGGCGATGGGCCCCCGATAGTGAATCTGCACCTTCCTGTGCGGCGGGTTGAGGCTATCGGGCCCCTATCGGCAATCAGTGGGCGATTGGGGGCCGATGCATCCCCCCTATGCCTATCCCCCCCTATCGTTGCCCCCGATAGGCCCCGTGGGCCTCCCTCGGCTGGGCGCTCCCGGCCGGGCCGCCGCCGCACCGCCTCCCCGGAGCCCCCCCACACGGCCTGCTCGCTGCGCTGCTCCCCCTCGCGCGCGCCCGCGGACCGCGCCGCCCTCCGCGCCGCCCTCCGCGCTCCGGGGCCGCCTCTCGCGAGCGCCTGCGCGGGCAGGGCCTCAATAGGGCTCGCCGCTGCAGCCGCCGCGGCTCCGCCGCCGCGGCCCGCCACGGTGCCCCACGCCTCGCCCCCGCGCGCTGCGCACAGCCTCCCTCGTCTCGCCCCTGCGGGGAGGGGGAGGAGGAGGGGGAGGAGGAGGAGGAGGAGGAGGAGGAGGAGGAGGAGGAGGAGGAGGAGGAGGAGGAGGGAGGAGGAGGAGGAGGAGGAGGAGGAGGAGGAGGAGGAGGAGGAGGAGGAGGAGGAGGAGGAGGACGAGGACGAGGAGGAGGAGGAGGAAGAAGAGGAGGCAAGTGTGCCCGTTGGCCTCGTCTCTCCCCCCGCCCCTCGAGGCCCCCCACAAGGGGCTCGGTGGATCCCCCGTGGACGGCTCCCAGCCTCCACGCCGCGTGACCTGAGCCGGCCGCGCGCCTCCCTCCGCCCGAGGTTCCTCCGCCTCGACGCTGCGCGCGGGGCCGCGGCGCCAAAGGGTGCGTGCCTTTGGACGTCCCGCTGCTGCTGTGAACTGGGCCTGCGGCGCGTCTTCTCTTCTCCGGCCGTTCGCCTGACTCCGCCGCGCTGCTGCGAGCGTGGCCGCGACGCCACAAGTTGTGTGTGTGTGCCTGTATGATCGTGCGGCTTGCCATTGACCAGTGCGACAGCTCCCAGCCGCATGACGCCCGGCTGCACGACGGAGGGCAGCGTAGAAGCTGGGCATCCGGGCGCGAAAACAGGCAGGGCGTCGCGCGCTGCTTTTCGTCTGACCTTGCGACGGTCACATGCAGCACGCCGTCGAGCAGCACAACGGGGCGACAGCAGCAGCATGTCGCCGTCCTGGAGTGCGACGGACACGTGGCAGGCACAACTAATCTACGCAGCATCTCGAAGGCAACCTGCCAGACCTGGAGCAGCGGCACGGTTCTGGCACCCATGAGCCAGTGGCGCGAGAAGGATGTCGAGAATTCATTATTTGAGCAGCGTGGCAGCCGCGTGCAGAATGACGACCACCATCACGACCAGCAGCAGCACCACGGCTCGAGGAGTGAGACGCGCTCCACTTCGTGTTCTACGGTGTCTAAGGGTGACGACTTTCTGGCTGGCCCTGGTGAAGCTCAGCATTGGCCATGACCGGTCTTCTTTCCAGCTCCTGGAATATCAGCACCGTCCGCATGTGGTCGCGCCGCCCGCTCCAAAAAGAGGTGCGAGTGCCTGTGTTTCCCGCGCAGAGGGCGGCAACGTTCCCAGCCGCTCGAATCGCCGATCTAAAAAATTCAGGCTGTTGGATCCTTTGCAATTGCCAGCTGGATGCTCGCTCGCCTGGATGCTCGCTGTGTGTGCCTCTGCGTGTGTCTCTGTGTGGATGTGCCTGTTTGTGATTGCGTGTTTGTGTGTGCGTATAGTTTGCAATGCTATGTACGCATCCCGTTACTGAGGACTGGCCGATGTCCCGTCGCCCCCGAGGATGGGAATGTGTGATTGCGTATGTGCATCGTGTGCGCGCGCGCATTTACGCTCACATGCGTACGGGAGTGTGAAAACGTCAGTAATGGAGGGCATACGGCATGGAGCACAGTCGAGAACGAGCATGTGAAGAGCTCCAACAGACTCTAGCACGCCCTCCCTTCTCCTTGCCGATCAGATTTGATTGGCCCTGACACTGATGTTTCCTGCGCGCCCCGTTACATTTGAGCATTGCCTACTCCTCAGCCGACCTCACTCCCGGTGAAAGCCCTCACTCGGCCCTTCGCCGAATGGCACTCGACACGAGGCGGTAGAATCGAGAGCAGCAACAGCCGAAGCCGAATACCTGACGATGCTCCCGCCCATGAAACTCAGAGCAGACGCATGCCCATACGGCGCGCACAGGGGGGAAGGCTTCTTAGAAGGAGGCTGTTTCTTAGAAGACGCGGGCCATACATCTACAGCTAATGCCTGCGCCTTCTGTGAAGCAAGGGTGCCTCTAAGACGCCTTCCCCCCTGCCCCTACTCCCCTCTGCGCGTGGCCGGCCCATACTGCAAGCCATGTGAGGAGCCCAAACCGCGCGAGCCTTATGCCCTCCGTGCTGCCTGGCACCGCGATATGGTCCCGGCTGCCGGGCACCATGCTGCTCGCACTTCCTGAACCCCCGCCGCTCGAAGCCAGGGGCGAAAGTGCCAGGGAGAAGATTGAGAGAGAGAAAGAACAAAAAAAGAGTTGGGGGCGCGCACGAGGGGGTAGGGGGAGGGGGAAGGTCATCTTAGGAGGAGACTGCTTCTTAGAAGGCGCGGGCCTTACATCTACAGACAAGGCCCGCGCCTTCTAAGACGCAGCCTCCTTCCAAGAAGCCTTCACCCCTGCCCCTGCGCCCCTTCTGCGCGTGGCTGAGAGAGAGGGAAAACAGCAACAAAAAAAGCACGTGAAAGCAAAGCGAGGGGAGAAGAATTAAGCAGATGCGAAAGGGCGGCACTCCACTAATAAACACACAACTCACCGAAACTGCAACCAAACTGCCCGTTCAGCTCTGTACGACTGATGCTGGCGCTGATGTTGATACTAATGCTGATGAACTTTCGCCCATAGAAAAGAACGCTGACCCTCCTCACCAGCCGGCAAGGGAGTTTCGCTATCAACAACTGACCCTTGATGCTCGCACCCTGTTTCGTTCAGGGGAGATACTGATACTGAAAGTATATTGTTGGGCCCCAGGCCACAATCACAAAGCCTCTTGCCGAATCCTTCCTCAGCCTTTACTCAAAAATGGTGATATGGCTGGAGGTTGCCGTGGAACTGAATCAAGAGTCGGGCTCTCGCCGTGGACTCCCTCACGGTATACTCGTGGACTTCCTCATTGGCATACCCTGCGGGGGTTACCCAGGACCTGGCATGTAAACAAGAAACCCCCCGCAGGCTCATGAACGAGGAGGGCAGGAGTCGCGGGCTTGGGAAACGCATACCAACCGACTGGCAAGCGGTCAACGGAGAGCATACTGTCTCGGAATGAATGGTGTTCCTGGTAGTGATAACGATGATGGTGGTGCAGATGATGGCGACGACGAAGATGATCGTGGTGATGATGCTGATCATGATGATGATGGTGATGAGGATGATGATGATGCTGATGATGACGATGACGATGACGATGACGATGACGATGACGATGACGATGGTGGTGGTGGTGATGATGATGATCATGGTCACGGTAACGATGATGATGTTGTTGATGATGGTGTGATCGTGATGGTGATGATGACGATGACGATGACGATGACGATGATAGTGATGGTGCGGGTGATGATGATGATTACGATGATGATGAGCATGCTGATGATGATGGTGGTGGTGGTGGAGCTGCTGAGATTGATCGTGATGCTCATTATGATGCTGATGCCGATGTTGATGATGACGGTGATTATGATAATGGTGGTAATGATGATGATGCTGGTTATGAGAATGGTGATGATGACGACGATGGTGATGATAATGATGATGGTGATGATGATGATGATGATGATGATAATAATGATGATGATGATGATGATGATGATGATGATGATGATGACGGTGACGGTGACGATGACGATGACGATGACGGTATGACCATGACGATGATGATGACGATAGTAATGATTAACTATGTTGCTGCCGATCCGAGAAATCCGCTGGGGCACTCGAAAAATGTCATTGTTCGTTGTTCCTCGAGATTAGCTTCAAGTCGGGCGTGTCCCCCTACAGGGGGATTTTCGACGAGCAATAAAAAATATGCAAAAAAAACTCACAAGGGGTCAGAAACTGCTCCAAAAATAGTCCCCAGACTATTTTTTAGAAACTATTTTTGACTATCCCCCCTGTAGAGGGACAGGCCCGGCTTCCGATTAGCGAATCAGCTCGCGCAGCTGGCTTCCCGCGCGCCCCCCCAGCGCCCGAGACGCCCAGGAATAGAGAGGAGAGCGCACCGACGGCGGCAGGGCCGGAACCAACGGCGCGCGAGGCAGATTTCGTCATCCAGCTTTTCCCAACCCCCCAGGAGAGCCCAGAATTAAGTCGGGCCTGTCCCCCTACAGGGGTTTTGGACGAAAAACCAAAAATAGTCAAAAAAGACCCAAAAATGGCAAATCTATATATATATATATATGTGTGTGTATGTATTAAGAAAATGCTCAAAAATAGTCCCCAGACTATTTTTTGACTATGCTTGAATGTTCCTCCTGTAGAGGGACAGGCCCGACTTCAGCCCAGACTCGAATCAACAAGTCGGATCAGATCGGATATCGGCGATCGCAAGGAATCGGATCGGCGGAGATCGGTGGCCAAGACGGCACGCCAATAGGCATCCATTGAGGAATCGGAGCCATCATCGGAATCCGAAGTCGAAGCGAATCGGAATCGGAGGCCATCGAATTCGAATCGAACCGAATCGGAAGAATCGAATCGAGCCCTGGCGGCGGGGCCGGAACCAGCTGCACGCAGCAGATCACCTTTTCCCAAGTCCCCCCTCCGTCCACCCCGAAATTCTTGGGTCGGCGCTGGACCGCCCTCTCTGATGCGCGGGGTCCAGCGACGACTCAAGAGATCAGCGCGGACCTCCGCAAAGTCATGTCTGGCTCGGCATCGGAACAGGCACAACGGTCCTGCACCCAGGCTGGGCACAGCCGAACTCAGGGAAAGAGCGTGCCTGGCATGTTCCGATATCGAAGTGCCCAAGCCTCGTGGCAAGACGCGCGGTCCTGGCACCCCGGAGCGCTGGGCTTGGATCCGACTGATCTCGAGCAACGGCCCGTGGGGCCGCGTGGGGAGGAGGAGGAGGAAGAGGAGGAGGAGGAGGAGGAGGAGGAGGAGGAGGAGGAGGAGGAGGAGGAGGAGGAGGAGGGGGAGGAGGAGGAGGAGGAGGAGGAGGAGGAGGAGGAGGAGGAGGAGGAGGAGGAGCCCCCAGACCCGACTGGATCTCTGGACCCCTGGGCGGCATGCCGTGCCGCTGAGAGCCGGCGGGCACAGCAGCGGCGGCCAGGGCGGAAGAACAAGACTGCACAAACATATTTTTTACCAGCCTCGAACGTATCCCCCTATCTCTAAGATTGACACGCCAGAAGGCGATAACAATCTTAGGGATTCGCCCTCAAAAAATAGGGAATCCCTAAGATTGACATCGTGATGAGGAGGTGCCCAGCATAGGGCTAGGGATATGTTCCAGGCTGGTATGTTTGGTATGGTTTGTTTGTTCATCGCCTACACGTAAGAATGACCGTGGGTAAGAGTGCCCTTTGGTGCGCGGCTCTTGGGGGGCCGCTGGGGGACTAAACACGAGCGCGCAAAACGCTACTACCGCATCGCGTTCGGCGATCGGGGGACCCCGTTGGGCCCGCACCAAAGGTCACTCTGGCGAAAGGTCACCCTTACGTGTAGCCGATTTTTGTTGCTGCTCGGGATGCACTGCGCGGGATCCGGTCCTTGTCGCCTTCTCTGGGCCTACGTGGTGGAGTCCTCTACCCATCAGTGGGGGCGCTGGCAGCTCTCATCATCAGGTGTTTGCGCTGGAAAAAAACATAACAAAACGAAACATGCACAAACATAAACGTTCGAAGGTCCGCGCGAACTTCTCGGATCGGCGCTGGGCCATCCTCCCTGGCGCGTGGAGCGCGACGGAGGGGGCGCGCGCCAGAGGCGCCGCCAGGGTGGCCAGCGCCGAGCCGAGGAACCCGCGCGGACCTCCGAAAATTTGTATTTGAGCATGTCTTATCATTCGAAAACTGGGCATCGCTCGGACGTCCATTCCCTGTGCTTTTTTCGGTTTCGTTCGTGGTTTTTTCCGCGGAAAGATCAAGGATGCTCCTCGATGGTCCTCGCCGAAGGAAAAATGCACACGTCCGAGCGATGCCAAGAAAAGAGTGGCCTGGCCCACCCCTTAGAATCAACCCGTAGAATAAGGACGCACGATAAGGACGCAAGCCTTGGAAGGCCATGTCGACACTTTGCGAGCAGGGCGCGGCCAGCGAAAGTGGCCAAGGATGGGCCGAAGGGCAAGGATTCAAGAGTAAACTTGGAAAGTTGCTCATCCGGACAATGCGCGTTTGACTGCACCAGCCTGAAGTAGGTCCCTATCCCTATGATTGGCTTAACCGCACCGCGACGCCGATCTCAGGGGTTCCCTCTGTTCCAATGGGGGCACCCCTGAGACTGTCATCGCCGTTGGGCTTGTCTATCCGGGGGCAGCGATAAGCTGGAACCTGCTTAAAGCTTTTCCGAGAATTTCGCACGGGATTCCGAAAGTTTATGTTTATGCCAATTGCGTTTTGTCGGAAAGAGCGGCCCAGCCCACCCCTCTGGGGGAGCAAAAACAATATAAGTGGCACGCCTCCACGGGGAACCCATCACCGCGCCACTGTCAAACAGATACTGAATCTTCGGGCAAGAGCGACGCATTAACACGCCGACGGGTTCCCAGCAGCTGCGGGTCAATGGTACTCTTGCTCCCTCCCGCCCCTTCCAGGAATGCTGCTCGAACTCCCGAGAAGGTTCTCCCTTCGGATGATGTCGGAGTGCAGGCTGCTGTTGCTGCCCGGCGGGTTCTCCCTCGGCCGGAGGGGGGAGGAAAGCATCTTCTGATTCGCGGCGACAGCGGGCGTGGATGGGGGACCAAGGGAGGGGGGGGGGCGGGGAGGGGGCATGACGCAACGCCCCCGCCCCCCCTACCGTGACAAACTGCGGTGGCAGACGCACTGCGGCAGTGTTGGGGACAAACTAGAGGGGGGGAAGCGTTACTTCATGGGGGGGGAGAAGGGAGGGGGAGAGGGAGAGGAGGAGGGAGGAGTGGAGCGGAGCGGAGCTGAACGGTTGCGAAGCAACAAGAAAAAGGGTCCACTCACAACCCGTGCGACTTACCGCCTTAGGGGGGAACCCACGAACAAATCGATCAAGATACTCCCGCCTGGTGCGGGTGATCCGATCAGGGCGACACTCCAAAGCTACAGCTCTCAATTGCTCTCTCTCGGTGCCCCCACAGTACCTACAAATCCAAGTGTGCACGGACTGGGAATAGACAAGAGTATCTTGCGAATGAGCCCAACCCCTCCCCCACACTACGTGGACCCCGCAACCCTCTGGAGGCCGAGACAGCACCTCATCAATGAAGACTGGAGGGTGACAAGGCGAGGCCAACCAGCCCTTCCAGGTGTGGTGACCCTTACCACTGGACATGAGGGTATTGATGACCTTGTACTTATACTCCGCTGCGTACTCGTGGAAGGCCCTTCCATTGGCGCCTTCGTTCTGGACAAAACCACATCACCCACCCAGTCGGACTGTATGCCCCCAAGTCTGCCATTGGCGTCCATAAATATGATGTTGGGTTTGTGCTTGGCGGTGATGCTAGTAAGCCGTTGCCAGAACTGCTGCTTCTCGTCGTCGCTCTTCTTCGCGTGCGGTGCGCGTGCTACACATGCTCGGCATGTGATGGCATTCGTCTCGATGTTAACCAACAGAAAACTCGGTTCAGACACGATAGCGCGCATATGCTGGGGCCAGAAGAGCAATAACACATTGGAATGCTCGCCGTAGGGGATGCTGGCGTTGAGTCATATCTCGCACACAGCGTTATCGCTGTCGTGGCGGCTGCTGACTAGCTGACTAGCTGACCATGTAGTAGCCATGGTTGGCCGTCGTGCGTCTCTCATCCCGAGTTCCCTGGGCACCTGCGATGTGGATCTTGTGTTCTTGAAACTGTCGTCGTAGAACAGGCCCTCTCCACTGAATTGGCAGGCTTGGCCTGCTTGGTCAGCTTGCGTATTGTCTTGTTGCTTGCTTCCCTGGTACTCTCGACGTTTTAGGTAATGGTGTTGGGGGCAATGCTGGATTCTTTCTGAACGTGCTCCCCAGGAGCTGCCATATGCTTGATCGTGGCTGTTCTTGGGGGGGTACTGAAGACCATGTTGTCGGTCGCTTGCTTCGGGGATGCACGTCGGTCCTTCTGATTGCTGCTGAGTGCCCTTTTTTCCCGCTGGTGGTACTTACTGGCGTTGACCAAGGCTCGCATGTTTGGTGAGACTATGGTTGTCGGTTCGCCGTCTTTCAAACTTGCGTCGTTCTCTCCTCGCCGATCCATCCGCAAGTTCGTTCCACGGCATTCCTCCGTGGCTGGGAACGCTGGTGATCTTTGTCGCGGTGAGCTGGTTTGCTTCGTCGAAAACGACCTCGAGGAATCTCGCAAGCTCGGCATCCGACTTCGAGGTGGCCCTGTCGTAGCATATGTTGATGACCATTTCGCAACCTGCGCGAAAGCATAGTGGCTGCCGCTCTTGACAGGCAATGGTCCGTAGAAGTGCCTGTACAGCTGTCATCAGCTGGCCTGTGGTGTTCGCGATGTCGCGGTCGCTGATGTTGAGAGAATGGCAAGATTGCATGCCCGTGCACGCGACCCGGGCTTTCTAGCATTGAAAGACACGTCCGTGTAGATGTGTTCGATGACGTGCGGCACATCCCCACCATTGGTCGCATGTAGTGCACATCGCGCCGCGGGGTGCAGGTCGTCGCCACCAATGATGTAGTCCATGAGCGGTGCCTTAGCTGCCAGCGTACTGCTTCGTAAGCTTTCTACGTTTCCAAGGGCGCATGTGGTGCATTGGCCATGGTTGAGTCCCTCGTACTTGCTGGGGTCGATCTCGTTCCTCGCGCCGATCGTGATTGTTCCTCGGTCGTCGCGATTGTTGCCAGGTCTCGGATTGAGTTGGCTTGTCTTTGTATGTGCCTGTTGGTCGATGTCTTGTCGCCTGTTGATCTTCCGCCGCTCTGAACGAGTGCATTGCTATGGTATGTTTGGTGGTGGTCCTGTGGTGTCGAAGGGGTTTCATGGCTATTCGTGCGCTGGTGACTTGCTGATGGGGTCGGCGCGCTGGCGTCGCGTGCATTTGTCGCGCGATGCTGTCAATAGATGGTTTATTGGAGTCTTGGGGGTTTCTGTCGATGGCTGAGGGCGTCGGTTGTCGGTCGGTTGGGTCGGTAGTCGGTTGGTCGTGCGTGTGGCATGGTGCTGGGAGTGGTTGCGTGTAATCGTTTGTCTCACTTATTTGGCCTCCATGCACCGACTTCAAATAGGATTCGTGGCGGTCCCACCGCGCCCCGCTATGGCTAGAGGTTACAGTGCCCTCGGTGGGGGCGAACCCCAGGCCTCGTGCATGGCACTGTCGGGCATGGGGTTGCCCGCGGCTTCCCTCGGCCCCGCCTCGTCGGCGTTCGGGCGGGCCCCTCCTCCGCCACGGGGGCGGTGAGGGTGGCAAGCTAGGGCGGGCCGCGGGAGCGCGGAGAGCGGCGCCCCCCCCCCCCCCCCCCTGCCCCTCACCGTCCCCCCCGGCAGGCGCGGGCAGCACTCGCCCTGCCACCCCGCCCTTCGAAACCGTCTCGAAGTTCGACCCTTGCCTCGCAAGGTCCGCCTCGGGTCGGTTGCCAGTGGTCTCTTTAAGGGGTTCGTGTATACGTTGCTGGTGGTGATATGCACTACTGCCTGTGTGATCCGTAGTCATGTGTGTCGTACCCCTGCGGCTTTTGTAGCTGTTGGAGGTCGGCTTGTGCGATGTGGTCGTCCGATCTCATCGTGGTCGCTGCGACCCTCGCCCTCATGCTCGTTGCAGTCGATGCCCTCGTGCATGCATGCGTCCTCGATGCCAATGAACCTGCTGCTTGAGATGGCGTGAACGTACTTGTCCAATCGGGTGTAGGGCTCGTGGTTGTCGGGGGTATGCTGTTGTAGCTTCCCTAGTGTAATCTCCCTGTGGGTCGTATTGCACAAACATCCGGCGCCTGTAAGCCAAAGGGGCTAGTCGCCCTAGCTCTCGCTCCATTCGCGGAGCGCGGCGGGCGGGATGGGCTGAATTCTCGGCCCGCACGACCCGCCCACTTGATTGGCGTTGTCTTTTTTCTGCCAGTGCTCTCGTGGCGCATGCCTGCAGGGCCGGCCGAGGGGGCGCTCCTGGGTCCACCTCCAATCACGTTATTGATGTCATCAGTCGTCTGGTAGGTCGACCTCTCGGCATGTGCTTCCAGCTCGTCGAGCGCCATCCTGAGGCGTCGAGTGCCGTCCTGAGGGAGTATCTCAGTTGGGCGTCGTGCTGTTGTTCGGCACTCATCGCTGTGACCAGTGAGGCCTGGTGCGCCGTGCTGCGTGAACTGTGGTGCTATGCCGTCCTGAGGGGGTCGCTCAGGCGGGCATCGGGCTTGTGGATCGCCGAAGCATTGCAATCTCGAGGCGGTTGTTGGGGCGGCTTGTCGGCCACTCGGCTGATTGGGCGACTGCCAGTCCTCCCGGGGGGCATCTCAGGTAGACGTCGGTTAGATGCATCACCGAGGTCTTGCACTCACGAGGCGATTGGTGCAGCTAGACTGCGTGATCGGCTAGGTTTTGGCCTGCGAACATCGCCCCCCTGATGTCTTGGCCAGTAGCCGCCGACGAGGCCCGAGGGGAGTCGCCGAGATACCTCGGTGGAGTCTGCACTGCTGCCAATTGGGCTTGGTTTCCTATTGTTGATGAACCGTGCTCTTTTAATGGTTGTGGGTTTTTGTTGCTGACTTGGTTGCTGGTACGTCGCATACAGTCGTGGTTGCGGTGATGGTGGGTCGGCGAACGTCTGATGCAACCCCTAGTGGAGCTGTAGCTGATGTCTGGTGCATGGCCACCCCATGGCCCTACATCGCCGGCGATTCCGTCAGCGGCGGCGAGACGGTTGGATGCGCACGACTGTCTTCGGCAGAAGCCGTGGGCCACAGGGAGTCACATGCGCAGCTTCAACACTGCACGAGTCGGAGAAGTAGGGCCCGCGGCCCCGCGGCGCCGCTGGCGTCGATTGGTAGGCGCCGCGCTGAGCCAGTTGCCCCTCAGCCGGCGCTCTCGCACTCACTTTTTGGAGTGTGCCAGGCGACGTCGAACACGTCGCTCTCTCCGCTCGAGGAACTTGGGGCGCCTGTCACCAGGGTCTGCGAAAGCATCGCCCGTGTCGCGGATCCTGACCTTCCTGGGGTGACTCTTGGCTCGTCCCCGCCCAGCTTCCCGTCGCATCGAGCTCCTGAGCGGGGGCTCACAAGATGTCTCTCTGGAGCCCCCATGTGGAGCCAGGGCGGCGGGCACTCGGGGTCGATGGGCTCGGTGGGCGAAATGTCGGCGATGGAGGTCCTTGGTGGCGCGGTTGGTGCTGCCTGCTCTTCGGTGCTTTGGTCGATGAGAATCCTGGTGGTAGGGGTGTTGGCATTCTGTAAGTCAGATTTGGATAGTGGGCGTGGGAGCTGTGTCACGGGTGGGAACGGCGTCGCCCGTGGGGTCTGTTGTTCGGTAGGGATGGGCGCGTTGGCGTCGATCGCCTGTGTAACTTCTGCTGGGTCAGTGGGCGCCGGAGCGCGCGGTGGTGGATGCCCTTCTTGAAGGTCGGCGTCATCGGCGTCGCCAACTGGGGCCATCTGGGAGTCCTCTATGAAGATGGGCCCCCATGACGGCGGTGGAGTTGCGGGCGGTGGCGTCGGCAGCGCCTCCCTCGGCAGTAGGGTCGCGCTGCTCTCTGCAGGCGCGACTCCGAGGTCCTGCAAGCCGAAGTCGCTGTCGGGCGTCGTCGAAGGCCTCGACGAGGTGCGCGACCTCTCGCCAAAGGAGCAAGCAAGGACCTCGCACGCGTAGACCGCTGCGTCCTGGCGCGGGCGCTCGAACTCCGCAGCGGGGAGGATGGTCATCAGCTTGTGCTCGAAACCCTCGCGTTAGTAGTCCTCCTCTTGAGTTGCCAGCGCCTGATCTCGGTCCATGACTGCGCCGTCTTCCGCCAGCTTAGCCGCCATCTCTTCAAGGATATCGAGCTCCAGCGCCTTGCCCGCCAGCATACCCGACACAATGGCGCGCCCGCGAGCGCTGTTGAGCTCCGCCGTCTCCTTCTCGTGGCGGATATGCATCTCCTATTGCCTCCTCGCGTTGTCGTGCTGGGCCCACTGCAGGTGTTGGTAGGCGTCGCGCTGCGCTCGTTCTGCCTGCTGCTCGAGGTTGCGGTGGCTGGCACGGCACTCTGCCCGCTCTGCCTGGCCGACGGCAGCCATGTACTGCCGCTGGTCTTCACGCGCTTGCCAGGCCTCCTCCTCGATGCGCCGCACGCCTTGCTGGTAGGTTCCGCCTGCTCCACGCCGAACTCGACGGGGCGTCTTTCCTGCGGCGCGTGGTGCGTCTCCATGACCGCCTGTCTGGCCTGGAGCTCGAGGACCATTTCTTGTCCGACCTGGACCTCCCGTTGGCAAGGCTCCGCTGCACGGTTCGCCTCCGAGGCTCGCGCCTGCTGGGCCAGGGCCAGCGCTTCACCCTCCAGCTCTTCTTGGGTTTGGTGGCAGCGTTCTCGCTCTCGGCGCGCTATCAGCACGCGCTCCCCCTCGCCTCGCCGAGCCCTACTAGCAGCCTCGACCAGCGCTCGCACCTCCTGGTCCGAGCTCCTCTCCTGCCCCTGGGGCGCCCCCTGGGCCTGCGCAGCGAGGTGGCGCTGCATCTGCCGTTGTCCTGCGCCAGCCTCTTCTTGCTGGCGCTGCTGGGCCCCGCTCTGCCACTTGCGGTGGGCAGCCTGCTCGTGCTCGAGTTCGCGGTGTGCGGCGCTCCTGATGTCGCTCCACTCCGCGGCGGTGAGCTCTCTGTTGGCGCTCCAACGGGTCGGAGACTGCATGCAAGATCTTCTGGGCCGTGGCCTGCTCGCAGCTTCGTAGTCTGACCACATGACTCTGCTCCATCTCCATCAGTTCGGCCTTGAGCTTTGCAGTCTCCTCTGGATGGCTGGCAGGCTGAGGGGCGGCTGGTGGCCTGGGGCCGGCTGCTGCCTTTGGCGGTGACTCTGGGCCCTGCAGCTGCGCCGCCCGGGGAAACCTGGCTGCCGCTGGATGCGGCGTGCGCGCACGTCCTCTCTCCGCTTCCGCTTCGTCCAGCTTGTTCCGCATCGGCGTCGGCCTCGGACTCCGAAGGCGGGCCACCGGCTGCGGTTCTTGCCATCATGTCCGCGGCCTCGCGGATCAGCACCTTGTAGATCCGCGCGACCTTGGTGCCCTTCGGCTCCTCGCCCAGCTGTGCTGCGATCCTGGCCTGGAGGCTGGCGAGCTCCTCCTCGGCCCGCTCCAAGGTGGAGCGCAGCTGTCGCAGCCTCTCCTTCGGCAGGATCACGAACGTCATGTTCGCCGTCGTGACCGCCGCCTCGTACTCCAGGTTGGAGGCCTCAACACCTGCGGATCGAGCCCTTGCGATGTTGTCCGCCAACCTAGCGAGGCGCTGGCTGCGGGTTTTCCGCCAGACCTCGAGCATCTCTGAGTCCGACGGCGGCGAGCTCCACGACTCGTGACCCTGCGCCTCCTCGTAGGACACTGGCAGCGCCATGTCAAGGACGGCGCGCTGCTTCTCGGTGAAGCCACTCTGCTGCTGTGGCTGCGGCGTCTGCCGTCCTGCTGCTAAGGCTGTGGCGCCACTGGGGCGGCGGCTGCGCCTGCGCCTGTAGGTAGGCGTGTCCTCGTGCCAGTTGTTCTGCTGCCATTGGCCTTGGGACCAAGCAGCACCCTGCAACTTCTGCTGGTTCCATCCTGTGGTGGTCTGGTGTTGCTGGTTGCGCTGGGTGCTGCGCGCACGCTGTGCTCGCCACGGCCATGGGCTTTCCCCGACTGCTGGGCCCGAGGACCCCTTCCTCTGTCCAGCAATGGCCGCAGCACCAGCGGGCTGCTTGGGTGCCATCGTGTTGCGGTGCTCGGCCAGAGTCGAAGCGGCACCCAGCACTCTGAGCAGAACTCGGGCTGCTGCCCTCTTGCTGCGCTGCCTGCGGTGCCAGGCAGGCTCTGGCCCCTCGCGAAGCGGCCGCGAAGCCTGGAGCGCCGCGGCTGCGCCTCCTCGCCGCGGGGGCGCCGATGCGGCTGTGGCGATGGCCCGCCGCGGCGCGCGAGCCTGGGCCCAAGGGCAGGCCGCACGAGGGGGGGGTGGAAGGTGGAACGACGACCGACCCCGGCCCGCCCCGACGACGGCGGCTAGCCCTCATGGGCTGGTGGCTTTCTCCTCCTCCTGCTCCTCCTCCGCCTCCTCCTCCGCCTCCGCCTCCGCCTCCGCCTCCGCCTCCGCCTCCGCCTCCGCCTCCGCCTCCGCCTCCGCCTCCGCCTCCCCGCCTCCGCCTCCGCCTCCGCCTCCGCCTCCGCCTCCGCCTCCGCCTCCGCCTCCGCCTCCGCCTCCGCCTCCGCCTCCGCCTCCGCCTCCGCCTCCGCCTCCGCCTCCGCCTCCGTCTCCGTCTCCGCCTCCTCCTCCTCCTCCTCCTCCTCACCAACCCCTTCCTCCTCCTCCTCTTCCTCCTCCTCCTCCTCCTCCTCCTC